GGATTTTTGGAAAGTTTCCAGAAATTTACCGGAAATTTTCCACCTCTTTGCAACCCTAATTATAACTTATATAGTTAATTTAGAATAACACTAAAGTCATGAGAACTATGAATAAACATGGATGCACACAATTTATTAGTCTACGAAACTGATTTAAATTTTTTTAAACAAAAAAAAAAATCTTCAGATCAAAAGGTTTTAAGATCATAAGAAACTAATTCAGTAATAGTGTGTTTATTAAATAATCAATGGACAGAAATGTAATCTATCAATAAATCACTAGTACTTCTTAGATTAAGTAATGATAACATTTAACAATAAGGCCCCATTAGTTAATGTATTAACTAAATTAACTAACAATGAGCAATTCATTTGTTACAGTATTTATTAATCTTTGTTAATATTAGGTAATATAAACATAATGTAATGTTAGTTCATGTAAGCTCAGCTCCATTAAATAATATTAACAAATACAACATTTTTTATGTTAGTAATGTTATAACAAATGTCAAAATTAACATTAACTAAGATTAATAAATGAATCAATTATTTTAGAATTATTAACAAATGGAATAATATAAAGTTAACAAATGGAAAAATGTAACCTTATTGAAAAGTGTTAGCGATCAACTTTTAAAATATATATTTTTTAATATATTATTATTATATTTTATTATAATATATGTGTGTGTGTGTGTATGCATATATATATATTTTTTTTTTTGCTGGCTTGTTTGTTTGTTTGTTTCTCAATCTCACACTTAGTTCCTGAAGAAATTAATTAGACAAAGACACATATTAATGGAAAACACACATACACACGTTCATTATTTTTCATTGTTAGTTCAAGTTAATTAATGCACTTAATGTTAACAAATGAAACCTTATTGTAAAAAAAATGGAACTTTGTTTAAAAAAAAAAAAAAAAATCAGATTTTTGTTTTTTCTCTTTTTTTCTCTGTTTGTCACTCTGACTTACTTCCTGAAAAACTTAATTAAACCCAAAAAAACAGATGGACATAAAACACAAAGCACACACATAAATTCCCACAAAGCATCTTTAACTGCTCAATAAAAACTACAGATGCTGCCTAATGAAGAAAAGTGTAAACTACAGCAAAACACAGCCTAAATGCAACCTCAACAAAACATCACTGCCATCCTTCACAAACTCACGACGGACATTATTTATGTTAAACATGCAGTTAACGAGAGTTCGTCTTAATAATCAAGAAACTAAATCATTGAGCAGCACAAAATCACAAAGCACTGCTTCTGAAGTACAACATCCACAAATAAAAACAGCTAAAATGGTCATCCTGAAGTAGAGAAGTACAAATAAACCTGCGAAAGCATGTAAAAACACGCGCTGGTGATGTGCTCTCTAATGATTCGGTACAGCTTTACTGCTGTAACCAGATCGGCTGTATAACTATAGGCTATAGATCTCTGCCACAATTCTGCGCGTGAAAGATCATATATATCATAGAATTGTGGCAGAGATGTAATCCCATATATAACGGCTGTCCATCAGCGGAGCGGAGCTGTTCAAACATCACACGACACGAACACATTCCTGCATCACTATAAACGCACGCGCTCTCTGACGTCACCTACACTAATACATGCCATATGTCAGAGCAGAGCAGCCCAGAGACACTGATAACACACAACAGTGATGTACGAACCACACACACACACACACACCTCTAGAGAATACATGGCGGCAAATTGCATTTTGTGCAATCGCTGTAATGAATATTGGTGCATTACAGATAAAGCGATGAATCGCATGAAATCTGACGAGAACATGTCCTGCTCATGTTTTACTTCACAATAACATGAAAAAATATACATTTTGCATAAAGAAAATTAATTCTTGGAGACTTTAAACCAATATAAACAAACAATACACACATTTTATTTACTTTAATGATTATTATTATTATTAATAAAAATGTTATTAACAAAATATTATTAACACACGTTTTATTTACTTTAATAGTTATTATTAATAACAACAACAATAAATGTTATTAATAAAAATATGAATAAATATAAGTTTCTTAATATTTTTACAGAATACATTCATATAATATATAATATAAATATTATATACAAATTTATAATAAAATATAAAATGTATAAATATAAAATATGTGTATGTATATATATTTTATATTTATACATTTTATGTAATAAACAATATTATTATTATTATTATTTAAAAAATGACATAAATCTGAGAATCATCACTGAGATTGATGAGAATTACATAAAATCTCAGCAGAAAAACATGTGTACAGTAATGACAATATAGCGGTTAAATGTGCAAAACTGACATAAAAACATACTTTGCTTTTGGATCAAAATAAAGGTTGGTTGATCTTGATGCAGAGCGCAGACACACAAACAGCAGTCGTACGTTCCTCACATGCACTCCAAAGCAGACGCTGAACAAGAGAACACTGATGAGCAGATGTTACAACAAACGCCTGCTGACAGCACTTCATTCATCTTCATTCATGTCAAAACAACATGATATATTTCACTCATCTTTATGACCAGGAAAGTTTCCCTCATGCCAAAGCCTTCAAATCAGTTAAAAGCTCTCATCAGGAAATTAAACTGCTTTCAGTGATAAAAAAAGACCAAACAAAGGAGCGAAACCACTGAGATCAGATCCACTGCAGGACTCGCATTCATCAGTGATAACCTCACAGCGCCATCTACAGACTCACTAACACACTGCATCGAGCTAAGCCAAGGGCCAGGAAATTATGACATACTAACTCATAATCCAGATCAAAAGTTGAAATTATGACATACTAACTCAGAATTATGAGATCAAAAGTTGAAATTCTGACATACGAAATCATAATTATGAGATCAAAAGTCAAAATTCTGACATACTAATTCATAATCGAGATCAAAAGCTGAAATTATGACATACTAATTCATAATTATGAGATCAAAAGTCAAGATCAAAAGTTGAAATTGACATACGAAATCATAATTATGAGATCAAAAGTCAAAATTCTGACATACTAATTCATAATCGAGATCAAAAGCTGAAATTATGACATACTAATTCATAATTATGAGATCAAAAGTCAAAATTCTGACATACTAATTCATAATCGAGATCAAAAGCTGAAATTATGACATACTAATTCATAATTATGAGATCAAAAGTCAAAATTATGACATATTACTAATTCAGAATTGAGATGAAAAGTTGAAATTATGACATACTAATTTATAATTATGAGATCAAAAGTTGAAACTGACATACTAATACATAATTATGAGATCAAAATTATGACATACTAATTCATAATCGAGATCAAAAGTTACAATTCTGACATACCAATTCATAATTATGAGATAAAAAGTCACAATTCTGACATACTAATTCATAATTATGAGATAAAAAGTCAAAATTCTGACATACTAATTCAGAATTATGAAATCAAAAGTTGAAATGATGACAATTCATAATTGAGATCAAAAGTTGAAATTATGACATACTAATTTATAATTTTGAGATAAAAAGTTGATATTGACATACTAATTCATAATTATGAGATCAAAAGTCAAAATTATGGCATACTAATTCATAAATGAGATCAAAAATTGAAATTATAACATACTAAATTGAAATTATGAGATTTATGTTATAATTTATGATTATGATTTATAATGAATTATGATAATCTCACAATTGTGAAGTCATAATTATATATTTTAATACTAATAAAGTTAATATTAGTTTTTGCTTTATCTCAACATTTCAAATTAGTATGTCATAATTTCGAATTTTATATTATAATTTTGACTAATTATAATTTGCCAAAGCATGATTTTTTTTTTTATTTGGTGGAAATAGGCTTCCATACATTTTTGCCCCAAAAATCAAATAAAAGAAATTAAAAAGTTTGAATCTATTTTTAACCTATTTTAATGACCATTAAAATGCACAGAGTTTGTTTGTAATTCAGTCAATCAGTTTCTCACTACTGTAATAAAGTATTTTTAAAAATTCTGCAATGAAGCATTAACGCAAATGCACACCTTGACTTTCTGCCAAAATGTTGATAAAAAAAATAAACATAAGTGCATGCAGTTATAAATTTCTTTAACAATTCTGTAATACAATGATTTTTATTTAAATCAGCAAAAATGAAATCCAGTACAACAAATACTAACGTAATATACCTCATTGCCATAAAGGAAAAAATATTATTTGTTTTGTAATCTATCTATACATCTTCATAATATTTGCTGTACTTCCTTTTCATTTGTGCTGATTTAAATAAAAAATATATACACATTTTATTTACTTTTATAGCTTAAAATATATATATATTTATTAATATTTTAATATGTTTTAATAATAATAATATTAATTATAATTATTAAAGTGAATAAAAAAATTTATAACATTTTTATTTACATGAATAGTTACTAATAATATTATTAGTAATCAAAATATTAATAAAAATGTATTTTATTACTAATAAAAATATGAGTAAAAATGCAGAAAATCTACTGAGAATCAGCACTTAGAATATGTACAGTAAAGATAATATATGGGTTAAATGTTATGAAAATAATGTCACAGTAATGACGCTGATCATTTGTTGCATCTAGGGTTGCAAAGGGGTGGAAAATTTCCGGTAAATTTCCGGAAACTTTCCAAAAATCCCTGGAATATTCCAAAAAAAATCCTGGAAAGTTTCCAAAATTTATGGAATATTTCCTAAATTTACTGGAAATGTTCCACCTTTTTGCAACCCTAGTTGCATCACGCCTGGTTAGAACAAAAGTAACACGAAAAAACACATACGGTCCATCAAATTCACATCGCACTGAAATTCCCAAACACATCACAAGCAGTTCATCACTATAATGCAATAACCACATGAAATCAACTAATTCTTGCCAATTCCAACCAACCAATCAATCAAAGCCAGCTGTTAAATAGTGGTCAGACTCACAGTATTGGCCAGTTCCAGGTAGCTCCCCCCCAGAGCCCCGCTGCGGCCGGAGGGACGCTGGGACAGGAGCTTGTGAAGTCCAGCCGAAGGCTCCAGAACACTGGGCTGATCCACAAGTTTCTGGAGTAACGGTGCGCTCTGCTGCGGAGGATGCACTTGTCTCAGAGACTGCAGGTCTGGACTCTGTAAGTCTCGAGCTCCAGAATCAAACTCCCAGCTCTCACGAGCGCCTGCGGGAACAAACACAAACACAAACACACGGCATGCATTACACTACATTGAACGCAGAACGGGATGCCAGACAAAAAGACAAAGATACAAGACTTAATGAGGGATAACTACAATCCCATGAACCATTGCGAAAAAACAATAGAGGAATATAAAACTGTCAATTTAAAGTTGTTACTTATGCATATAGAAAAAAGTATATATTGTAAGTCAAAATTATGACATACTAATTCATAATCGAGATCAAAAGTTACAATTCTGACATACCAATTCATAATTATGAGATAAAAAGTCACAATTCTGACATACTAATTCATAATTATGAGATAAAAAGTCAAAATTCTGACATACTAATTCAGAATTATGAAATCAAAAGTTGAAATGATGACAATTCATAATTGAGATCAAAAGTTGAAATTATGACATACTAATTTATAATTTTGAGATAAAAAGTTGATATTGACATACTAATTCATAATTATGAGATCAAAAGTCTAAATTCTGACATACCAATTCATAATCGAGATCAAAAGTTGAAATTATGACATACTAACTCAGAATTATGAGATCAAAAGTTGAAATTGACATACTAATTCATAATTATGAGATCAAAAGTCAAAATTCTGACATACTAATTCATAATTATAAGATAAAATGTCAAAATTCTGACATATTAATTCATAATCGAGATCAAAAGTTGAAATTATGACATACCAATTCATAATCGAGATCAAAAGTTGAAATTATGACATACTAATTCATAATTATGAGATCAAAAGCTGAAATTATGACATACTAATTTATAATTATGAGATCAAAAGTTGAAATTGACATACTAATTCATAATCGAGATCAAGTCAAAATTATGACATACTAATTAAGAATTATGAGATCAAGTCGAAATTATGACATACTAATTCATAATTATAAGATAAAATGTCAAAATTCTGACATATTAATTCATAATCGAGATCAAAAGTCAAAATTATGACATACTAATTCATAATCGAGATCAAAAGTTGAAATTATGACAATACATAATTGAGATCAAAAGTTGAAATTATGACATACGAAATCATAATTATGAGATCAAAAGTCAAAATTCTGACATACTAATTCATAATCGAGATCAAAAGCTGAAATTATGACATACTAGTTCATAATTATGAGATCAAAAGTCAAAATTATGACATACTAATTCATAATCGAGATCAAAAGTTGAAATTATGACATACTAATTCAGAATTATGAGATCAAAAGTTGAAATTAGGACAATTCATAATTGAGATCAAAAGTCAAAATTATGACATACTAATTCATAATCGAGATCAAAAGTTGAAATTATGACATATAATTAAGAATTATGAGATCAAAAGTTGAAATTATGACAATTCATAATTGAGATCAAAAGTTGAAATTATGACATACTAATTAAGAATTATGAGATCAAAAGTTGAAATTATGACACTAATTTATAATTATGAGATCAAAAGTTAAAATTATGACATACTAATTCATAATTATGAGATCAAAAGTTGCAATTATGACAATTCATAATTGAGATCAAAAGTTGAAATGATGACAATTCATAAATGAGATCAAAAGTTGAAATTATGACATACTAAATAATTATGAGTTCAAAAGTTGCAATTATTACAATTCATAATTGAGATCAAAAGTTGAAATTATGACATACTAATTCATAATTATGAGATCAAAAGTCAAAATTATGGCATACTAATTCATAATTGAGATCAAAAGCTGAAACTATGACAAACTAATTCATAATTATGAGATCAAAAGTCAAAATTATGGCATACTAATTCATAAATGAGATCAAAAGTTGAAATTATGACATACTAATTCAGAATTATGAGATCAAAAGTCAAAATTATGGCATACTAATTCATAAATGAGATCAAAAATTGAAATTATAACATACTAAATTGAAATTATGAGATTTATGTTATAATTTATGATTATGATTTATAATGAATTATGATAATCTCACAATTGTGAAGTCATAATTATATATTTTAATACTAATAAAGTTAATATTAGTTTTTGCTTTATCTCAACATTTCAAATTAGTATGTCATAATTTCGAATTTTATATTATAATTTTGACTAATTATAATTTGCCAAAGCATGATTTTTTTTTTTATTTGGTGGAAATAGGCTTCCATACATTTTTGCCCCAAAAATCAAATAAAAGAAATTAAAAAGTTTGAATCTATTTTTAACCTATTTTAATGACCATTAAAATGCACAGAGTTTGTTTGTAATTCAGTCAATCAGTTTCTCACTACTGTAATAAAGTATTTTTAAAAATTCTGCAATGAAGCATTAACGCAAATGCACACCTTGACTTTCTGCCAAAATGTTGATAAAAAAAATAAACATAAGTGCATGCAGTTATAAATTTCTTTAACAATTCTGTAATACAATGATTTTTATTTAAATCAGCAAAAATGAAATCCAGTACAACAAATACTAACGTAATATACCTCATTGCCATAAAGGAAAAAATATTATTTGTTTTGTAATCTATCTATACATCTTCATAATATTTGCTGTACTTCCTTTTCATTTGTGCTGATTTAAATAAAAAATATATACACATTTTATTTACTTTTATAGCTTAAAATATATATATATTTATTAATATTTTAATATGTTTTAATAATAATAATATTAATTATAATTATTAAAGTGAATAAAAAAATTTATAACATTTTTATTTACATGAATAGTTACTAATAATATTATTAGTAATCAAAATATTAATAAAAATGTATTTTATTACTAATAAAAATATGAGTAAAAATGCAGAAAATCTACTGAGAATCAGCACTTAGAATATGTACAGTAAAGATAATATATGGGTTAAATGTTATGAAAATAATGTCACAGTAATGACGCTGATCATTTGTTGCATCTAGGGTTGCAAAGGGGTGGAAAATTTCCGGTAAATTTCCAGAAACTTTCCAAAAATCCCTGGAATATTCCAAAAAAAATCCTGGAAAGTTTCCAAAATTTATGGAATATTTCCTAAATTTACTGGAAATGTTCCACCTTTTTGCAACCCTAGTTGCATCACGCCTGGTTAGAACAAAAGTAACACGAAAAAACACATACGGTCCATCAAATTCACATCGCACTGAAATTCCCAAACACATCACAAGCAGTTCATCACTATAATGCAATAACCACATGAAATCAACTAATTCTTGCCAATTCCAACCAACCAATCAATCAAAGCCAGCTGTTAAATAGTGGTCAGACTCACAGTATTGGCCAGTTCCAGGTAGCTCCCCCCCAGAGCCCCGCTGCGGCCGGAGGGACGCTGGGACAGGAGCTTGTGAAGTCCAGCCGAAGGCTCCAGAACACTGGGCTGATCCACAAGTTTCTGGAGTAACGGTGCGCTCTGCTGCGGAGGATGCACTTGTCTCAGAGACTGCAGGTCTGGACTCTGTAAGTCTCGAGCTCCAGAATCAAACTCCCAGCTCTCACGAGCGCCTGCGGGAACAAACACAAACACAAACACACGGCATGCATTACACTACATTGAACGCAGAACGGGATGCCAGACAAAAAGACAAAGATACAAGACTTAATGAGGGATAACTACAATCCCATGAACCATTGCGAAAAAACAATAGAGGAATATAAAACTGTCAATTTAAAGTTGTTACTTATGCATATAGAAAAAAGTATATATTGTAAGCTTATTGCAAAATGTGCAAATATATACATATATTTCAGTGTTTTGAGAGTGTAGTGAGACTGACTCTATTATGCCAGAATCACGGGCAATGTAATTTGTCTTGCCAGGAATTCTGCTATTAAACAATTATTTTAAGAAAAATATGGCTTCAACAAAAGCATAAACCATCAATCAACAACCTCAGAGCTCACAGTAGGTCTGTCTTTAAAAATAATTTCTATACCCATATGGAATTATTGCATATTTGTCCATTATTGCTAATAAAATGTGTGATTTTTAATACAAATAAATGATAATAATAAAACTGTTGCACTCTATATTTTCATTCACTGTCCATTATTGCTAATAAAAATGCATGATTTTTAATGCAAAAAAGACACTGTTGCACTCTATTTTGTCAATTATTGCTAATAAAAATGTGATTTTTAATACAAAAAAAAAACTGTTGCACTCTATATTTTTGTCTATTAATGCAAAAAAAAATTTGGGTTTTATTACAAATATTATATTGTTGCACTCTACATTTTTGCTTATTAATGCTAATAAAAATGTGTGATTTTTAATGCAAAAAAGACACTGTTGCACTCTATTTTGTCAATTATTGCTAATAAAAATGTGATTTTTAATACAAAAAAAAACTGTTGCACTCTATATTTTTGTCTATTAATGGAAATAAAAATGTGAGTTTTATTACAAATATTATATTATTGCACTCTACATTTTTGCTTATTAATGCTAATAAAAATGTGTGATTTTTAATACAAAAAAATATATAGTTGCACTCTGTATTTTTGTCCATTATTGCTAATAAAATGTGTGGTTTTTAATACAAATAATACAGTTGCACTCTATATTTTTGTCTAATAATGCTAATAAAAATTTGCGATTTTTAATTTAAAAATTATACTGTTGCACTCCACATTTTTGTCCATCAATAATGATACAGTTGCACTTACATTACTGTCCATAATGCGACTAAAAAATATGTATACTAAATTATTACACACAAAAAATGTATTTATTAATTGGACATTAATTGCTCTGAAAAACTCATTTTAGATTTAGCTGAGATCTGGACAGGAGAATCATCGTAGAGAACATACCTAGACTATTCTCGCTGCTGGTGGGCCAGGAGGCCACGTGTTCATGAAGTGTCCTCTTCTCCGAGTCGCTGGAGAGCAGCGATAGCTGTCCTTCCTCCTTGCGGATCTCGTTGACCAGCTGCATGCGGCAGCGTGTGAAGGCTTCGAAGGAGATGTTTCCTCGCTCGTCTGCGCCGAGCTGCCCCATGATCTCTGCCACCGAATCCTCCATGTTCAGCTGCCGGCAGACCATCAGCAGATCATTCCTGACCGAGACAGAGAGAGAGACAGAAGCTTGAGATTCAAGAGAGTTGCAAATGAGATCTTATTTTATCCAAGTCATCCCAAATTGTATTTGGACAGTTTAGTCAGAAAAGCATGAAAAAGTGTCTGTATCAGCAGGATATTTTCTCACAACTGAACTGATTTCATCACATTCACTATGAACATCTTCCACTGACGTTTCACAATCACCTTCAGTCGCGAAATATCAAAAATATGATTTGTCAACACATGAACGATCAAGCAAAGTCGCATTTACAAGTGAGAAACTAGTTAATCTATAAATTCCATCAGTGTCTCAGCAATGGATGCTCTGCAGTGAATGGGTGCCGTCAGAATGAGAGTCCAAACAGCTGATAAAAACAGTCTTAAGACTTCGTCTTCTTTATAAAACCAAGCAAAAGAACAAAATACATTCAACGTAATACTCACGCTCTGCGGTCGTGGTCGATCCTGTTTATCTTTCCTCCAATGAACACGCGGATCTTGCAGTCGCGCCATTTATTTTTGTTGGTTAGCAAATACGGTATCAAAAGAGTCAAGCCTACAATGAGTAATCAATCACAGCGTCATTTATTGAAGCTACATAATCATCAAACTACACTGAAATGGAAATAACTCTTTACCTCCGTCGTCAAACAGCCACCAAACATCAATGGTTCCTTTGCTCTGTTTCTTCTGGAACTGTTGACTAGCGGTCAGAAGTTTCTCGTCCGCAGGACTGAGCTGCATCGGAGGCTTCTTGGTGTCTGAAACCACACATGCATCGTCAAGAGAGGAGAAATTAGCATCAGCTTACCAGGTACATAAATCTGAGACACCAAAAGCCATTCCGTGGAGAATTAACATTCATCGTGAATTTACACTCTAAAAAATGCTGGGCTGTTTCAACCCAACTTTGGGTCAAATATGGACTAACCCAACTTTTGGGTTAAAACTTTGATTTAAAAATTTAACCCAACAGCTGGGTTAGTTCATATTTGACCCAACATTGGGTTGAAACAACCTAGCATTTTTAAAGTGTAAGAACAAGATCAGGACTAATCCCTGAGCGTATTGAGTCTGAGGTTCTGAAGAACACAAATCTGTACATTCCTACATTGAAGGAAATTCATGAACTGGAGGATATTTGGAGTAGCTCTAATGGGAACACAATAAAATGGACAAAGACTTGAGCTCAGTCTTTTTCCGGTTTACTCTCTTCACACAAACACTCATTAAAGGATTAGTTCACCCAAAAGATGAAAATGTTTCCAAACAGCTGATAAAAACATCACAATAATCCACAAGTAATCCACAGCACTCCAGTCCATCAGTTAACATCTGGAGAAGACAAAAGCTGAAACTAATCCAGCATTAAGACGTTTTTAACTCGAATACATGCGAGTCCATAATCCATAATAACTCTTCCTCCAGTGAAAAGGTGTTCTGGTGTGAATCTGGAGAGAAATCTGCAGAGATCAAGCAGCGTTTAAACAGCTCTAAACAAATATGTGGCTGGATTTTGATGTGAGAGACAACAGCAGACGCACTTTTTCACTGGAGGAAGCGTTATTATGGATTATGGACTCGGTTTGAAGTTAAAAACGTCTTAATGCTGGATTTGTTTCAGCTTTTGTCTTCTTCAGATGTTAACTGATGGACTGGAGTGCTGTGGATTATTGTGATGTTTTTATCAGCTGTTTGGACTCTCATTCTGACGGCACCCATTCACTGCAGAGCATCCATTGCTGAGACACTGATGCAATGCTACATTTCTACAAATCTGATGAAGAAACAAACTCATCTACATGTTGGATGGCCTGAAGGTGAGTACATTTTCAGCAACTTTTCATTTTTGGGTGAACGACTCCTTTAAGGCATTATGTATGAAACAGCTTACAGACAATATCGCTACACATTTCTCATAATTCACAGTTTACTTTACGTTTGTTAAACATCATGCATAAAGAATTGCTATAAAAAGTTAAATAATATAAAAAAGCTAAATTAAATCATATAGATGTAACATATAAAATGTATTAAGCTTCTGTATGATTTGTATGACCTGAATGCATGACATGCTGTAGCCCAATACCAAATACTCAACTCAAAAGTTGCATGTCTTCATTTTCAACACCAGATGTATTCTATAAAGCTTAACACATTTCACATGTTTTTGCATGTAAAGTATGTTTGTGCATCTTTCTGTTTTATATTTTGTATCTAATGCAATGACAATTAGACATTTTTAAGAGTCATTTTAAGTGTCCAAATACTTTAGGAGCAGATGCATGATTTTTTTTTTTTTTACGATACAAATCTCTTTTTATTTAATCACATCGAAGCATGCAGTTGTCTTTTTTAGCAAAGTATAAGACAAAATGCTTTTGCAAATCAGTTCTGATGCCACTAGTATCACCTCTTCAGAATCACTTTAATTCATCAAATTGCAGAAATGTATGCAAGATGTCCCGCCAGCAACACGAACACACGATCAGCACTGAAACAAGTTCAGAAACATCAACAAACGCCAGTGTAGCGGATGAGGATGAAACATTTCCCGTCACTTCCGACGCTCCAACTACAGACTTCTGACAACCCCGGGAGCGTCCAAACAAACTTCATACGTCTTATTATGTTTGTTTGCGCTCTTTGCACGAATTAAATCGTACTATCGTTGCTTTGCGATCGTTCATACAAGCTAAAAACGCTCGTGACATCACCGCGCCCGTCGAATCTTATTCCGCACGTAAACGCGTCAGAGTGAGTTTGGTGTAGTTTCTGACCGGTTAATGTAGCCGTCTCCGTCCCCGTCACACGTCTGGAAGAGCCGCCGCACGCGCTCCTCCTCCGCGGTGCTGCACGAGTCGCTGCTGCCGCTGCTGCCGCTCTCCGCCGCCGCCATCACGATCACAGGCGCTCGCTCAAACACGCTCCATGGGTGTGTTGGTGTCAGTGCACTCTGGTTTCGTTTAAAATGCTATATCTAAAACTGCATATTCTTTTTAACTACTTTGCATATTGTAGAACATAACAGATATTATATTATCCATTCCAAAATAAAAAAACAAAACAAAGGGACTTACAAAAGTAAAAAAGTTTGTTTTATTGTACATATACATGTATATTTATTTCAAAAGTTGAAATTATGACATACTAATTCACTGAATATTTACTTATAAATAAATTTATATTTATGTTATTATAAAGATATTTATATTTGTTTTAGTTTATTTTGAATAATATTAAATTTTTTTAATAAATGTATATTTATTTTATTCTGAATAACATTTGATTTTAAATACATTTATTATATTTATTTTAGCTTATTTTGAATAGTATTTATTTTTAAATAAATGTATATTTAATTTATTTTGAATATTATGTATTTATTTTAAATAAATGAATATATTTTTTCTATTTTAAAGGCATTAATTTTTTATTTTATTTTGAATAATGTTTATTTTATTTTAAATAACTTCATATTTTTTGTTTCATTTTAAACACATTTATATTTTATTTTGAATACTATTTATTTTCAAATACATTTATTTATTTAGAATACTATATATTTTATTTTAAATAAATTTATATAAATTTTTTTGTTCATTCTAAACATTTGTTTTATTTAAAAGGCATATATTTATTTTATTAATAGGGCTGTGCGATATATATCGTCTAATTGTTGTTTAAACGATATGCGATTTGACATTATCGACTATAAAAAAACAAACAAAAAAAACAGAAAACCCAGAGAGTGCATGCATGTGAAGTCTAGGTTAGACTACTGCGCACATTTAGAGTTCACGCTGTCACTGCATGATTTAGTCTATTAAAATGCATTTAGAATTCCTCAAACTTAAAGATATGACTTTTATATGTCTTTTCACTTTTTACCCCCAAAATCATTTCAAATATCACTATTTAAAACATCAATACATTATTCATGCATTTGTAACTGCAGGTTAAATGCGTTCATGTCCTGCATTAAACAGTCTGTGTGAATGCATCATTTGCAGTTTATGTGCCACCTCTGCATTGCAAACAAATTTTGTTGATACTGATTTCATTTGATTGGTTGCAGCCCTATAGTGTCTTACTATTTAAATTTATTGATTAAATGTAAGAATTTGACACAAAAGATGATGCATACATTTAATAAGGTTAGAAAAAAGTAGAAAATGCCCATGAAAGGTACAAATCCATTTAAACGTATTGAAAAAGTAAATTTCTGTTACTCCTGCAAACCAGGGGCGGATAGTGATTTGGGGGCCCCAGACAAAATATAGGAATTGGGCCCTATATATTTGCACACATTTACCTAGATCAGCCTTGAGGTTCCTTTTTTGTTGTGATGCTTGCTGCTGCACAATGGTGCCCCACAGTTGTGTCCAATGTTTCTACATTCTTCATGTACATGTTATAATGGCTTTCTTTCATGCTGTAGACCACGAAATAGCGATTGATTTACAGTTTTCACAAAAACAAAATAAATTATAAAATGATAAACCTCACAATTGAGCCTTTAAACCATTTTTTAAGAAAAGAGATGAGTCGGAAGTATAAATTATGATATTAATTTAAAACTGGGTTACGTGGGTGGATTTTCGCATTGGTCTGAACAAAAACTGCAGAATTCTCTGCCAGCAGGAGGCGCTTTTGGAACATCAGAAATACAGCGGATTCCTCGGTAACGGCTGTAAACAAAGCAGCGCTGCTCATAAACGCTACTTTATCAGATAAAATAAAAAAATGCCACCGAAACTTTTCTGAAGACAGGCGGTTCCCTTCAGAGATATAAAAACTTTAATTAGTGAGAATGAGAAAAATATAGCCTATATTGAGGAGGAAAGTTACCAGCGTAAGCCTGTGTGCCAAAGGCTGTCTAATTCTAAACAAATACACTTATTTTAGTTATTTTAACTACAAATTTAAATGAAAAAATAATGAAATGGAAATTATACATTACACAACTAAGGATTATATCAACCAAACAAGTAACTGCGTATGCGTCCTCTATTTGGGTCCTTCTCATAAATAAGCAGCATTTAAAACAATAAACATATAATACGCACTGTAGCGCAATATTTAATTACAGCTTCAGATACATGATATTTTCATTTGCTACAAGCAGGATACACGTGAAGTGTGTTCAACTCAGACACGCAGACGGTTGTCGTGGTGATAAACACTGTAAAAAGCAACTATTCTCATGTCAGTGCTTAATGCGCATCTCGTATATGAAAAGCATTTTAGGGGGCCCTTGGCTTTTGGGGGCCCAAGGCGGTCGCCTACCTTTGCCTAATGGGTAAGTCCGCCTCTGCTGCAAACTAATCATCGCACAGAATATGAAGACTATCAGAAGTGTTAGGAGTCAGCTGTCCATACCTGCCAAAATACCAGCACAATAACATGCTCGGCAAAATATTGAGATATCATTTTTTTTTGTCATTTTCACACACCCACAGTGTGGGTTTGGTGAAGTGTAGCACAAACAAACTTTTTTTTTACCCCACGTGTTTCCTCTAAACTGACCCACAACCTAATCAGTTTGTACACAGAAATTCATTCATTCAAACAATCAATTCAGGCCAAACATGCATAAAAACAGCTTTTACAAACCCATTGCACATGTTTTATTGAAAGTATAATCTATCAAATGTAATTAACTAATCATGTAATACCATTATTAAATATAAGTGTCGGTATAACACTTCTATAATGAATGAATGATCCAATGACTCAAGACATTTACCGCCTACTGTAAGTTTTAGTTTCTTATTTACTGTATCATTTCATATTTCCATAACAAAAAAAAAAAATTCTAAAAATAACATTTATAGCCCTTATATGCATTGTTATATATCTCCCGTCATACTAATGTGTAAATTTGGTTTGATCAAACTGCAAATATAGGATGAGCAGTCAGATATAGACGTAGTTAATTTTGGTAGAAGTGAGAAAGAAAAGAGATGAAAATGAGATGTGGAGGAAGAACAAAACACAAATCTGACTGAAAAACATTCTTCCAGACCTGAAAGTCATCAAACTATTGGTTGCCCTTTGACCTCACATGTGTTTCCAGCACGACTAAAGGCTTTTATTCCATTCAGAGAAATCACTGCTGATCATGTGTCAATATTTAGTCGCTTGCGCAACTCTTTTCTGCAGAGAAAAAAGGCCCAAACACTTTAAAGCTCTGATGGAGAACGGATGAGTATCAGAAGAGGAACCCAAAGCTAAAGACAATAATAGGAAGCTTTTAAAAAAGCAGCGAGACCTTTTAAAAAATTCCTGAGCAGAGATCAGAACAAAAACATCAGCGATCCGTCCAAACAAGAACATTTCTCACATTAGCCGAGGAAACAGAAGAACGGCTGAGGAAGAGGATGGATCTGGAAGGAAACTGCAGGTCAGAAAACACAAACAATAATAGGAGCTCATTCACTTTCTCTGTGGATCAGTGTGATTTCAGTATTATTTATATACTCGTATCATTTTTATTAAAATTCATTAACATGAATAAAATTATATCTTTTATGTTTAAAGTATTATTTCATCAAAAAATTTTTTCATATTTCCATTAAAAAAAATCTGAAAAAAAAAAAAAAATCCATGTTAACAAAAAAATTATTAAAGGGATAATTCACCCAAAAATTAAAAATTAAAATAAAAATTTCCTTCTAAAGCTACTTTTTGTAATGTCTATTTGATGTTTTTCTCATTTAATGGCTTTAAATGATCCTTTGGGGGTGATTTCTCAGACAGATCTGATGAGAGTATATAATAAATATAATAAAAATTAAAAAATTTAAGCCAAATTATGCCGATGCCAACATGGACAGGTTTCATGACATAAAATAAAAAATAAAGTGAATTAATTGCTGTCCAGTCTATGTTAAGTTAATTTTGTTGAACTTACACTATTTATATATTTACTTTTTATTTGTTTTAGTTTTTATTTTATTCATTTAAAATTTAGATAAAGTTCTAGTAGTTTTGTTGTGCTTTTGTCATTTTTATTAGTTAATTAAAAAA